CAAACTTTTTCTTTGGCCCATCACAGCATAAACCTGCTTCAAAGGTACAAGGATACTACCATAGAAAAATACAATGAGTTCACATATCTCGGAATGACGTTTGACACAAAACTAACATCGAAAATTCACATTGCTAAAATAGCAGAACGAGTCTCGAATAGACTGAATGTACTGAAGCGTCTTGCTGGAGCGTATGAGGCTGTGCACGCTCAACTCTCAACACCACTTACATGATGCATATTCAGCCGTTTCAACACCACTTACAAGATGTTTATTCAGCCAAAAATGTTTTATTGTTGTGAGCCACTCATTACAGCCACAGAGGTGACTCTCGAACGACCGCCACTCATTACAGCCACAGAGGTGACTCTCAAACCACTCAAGAACTCATTACAGCCACAGAGGTGACTCTCAAACCAATACGAGAAGGCACACAACCAAGCATTACGGCTAATTACTGGAGGGATTAAATCAACACCCATTGATGCAATGCCATGTTCAGGGATAAAATCAACACCTATTGATGCAATGCTCCTAGTTACAGGAAGTGCCAACACCCATTGATGCAATGCTCCAAGTTACAGGAAACACATCACACCCATTGGATGACTAATTACTGGAGGGATAAAATCAACACCCATTGTTACTCCTAGTTACAGGAAGCACCACAATAGGTTCCCTTATCACACTCATAGTTACAGGAAGGACCAACACCCATTGATGCAATGCTCCAAGTTACAGGAAACACATCACACCCATTGGGCAATCTCCTAGTTACAGGAAGCACCACAATAGGTTCCCTTATCACATAGTTACAGGAAGCACCACAATAGGTTCCTGCCATGCTCCTAGTTACAGGAAGCACTACAATATGTTCCCTTATCAAAGACTGGAGCGATAAATCAACACCTATTGATGCAATGCTCCTAGTTACAGGAAGTGCCAACACCCATTGATGCAATGCTCCAAGTTACAGGAAACACATCACACCCATTGGATGACTAATTACTGGAGGGATAAAATCAACACCCATTGTTACTCCTAGTTACAGGAAGCACCACAATAGGTTCCCTTATCACACTCATAGTTACAGGAAGGACCCAATAGGTTCCCTTATCAAAGAAAAGGCCTTGATCCTGTAGGATAAGCTACTGTGCATTCCCATGGACAAGTTCTTCAGCACCTACTGTACATTCCCATGGATAAGTTCTTCAGCACCCATGAGTAATCTGGTCTAATACAGAAAGCCATAGAACTGAAAAAAGCATCCACCTATAAGAATAGACCAAGACATCTGAAAACACAATCAGGTCTAATACAGAAAGCCATAGAACTGAAGAAAGCATTACGAATCGATGGCAAACCAAAAAGCCTCTCTCTCCCCATGAACCCATTAGCACACATTGATGTAGTTGACACACTTGCTAAGAAGGGGATAACGATTTTGCAATACATGGACCGGCCGTTGTCTTTTCACACAATGAAGGCCTTAATCGGGAGAGAATTCCAGACCT